ATGAAAACTGCTATATGAGCTATAGTCTAGACTCCTGAAAGGGGGGTTATATAGGGGATTATATAAGGGACTACTATAGGGCTTATTAAGGGGGATACTAGGAGTTTAGACAATGGCTCATATCATGTACCTGAACCCCCAAAGTATGTAAAATAACAGCCCCAAATCCATAATAACAGCCACAGAGGCCATTATTTGCATACATTTGGGGTCCAGGTAGGGATTATATAGGGCTCATGTTCCATGATTCCCTGCGAAGAACCAGTAACTTGGTTTCTGGGGTAGGTTTTTTGGAGCATAGGGTCCAAGGTTTAGGGTTCAAAGCTCAGGGTCAGGATTTAGCGTCCAGATGGTCTAGGGTTTAGAGTTTCAAGTTCGGGATCTGGGGTCTAGGGTCTGGGGTTTAAGGTTTAGCGTTTAGAGTTTAGGGTTCAAGGCTTGGGGGTTCGGGGGGTACCGGGATCCTAGGGAGCCTCCCCTTTCACGGCTAGATCATCTCTTTTATATTCTGTAATTGCGTATAACCGTAGAAAGCATATGATTCATAATTTCTATATAACCACATTTTCCAGTTCATTTTCCAATTCCTTGTCCATTTGATTCTCCATGATCCCAATATGAACCAATATTAGGTGTTGAAGTTATGATTCATTCCACTTTTCTTCTTCCCAGGCCTTGGCGTAGGAAGGTTCCGGCTTTCTGACTTCATTCTTGTACGTCAACCCAGAAGCCTCTAGGATACCCTAAACCCTAAGCCCTAAACCCTGAACCCTGAACCCTAAACCCTAACCCCTAAGGTTTGGGCTTAGAGTGTAGCAATCCGGCGATCCCAGGGGTGAGGTGTGTCCAACCTAGATGGTGTGGGAATGAAGCTGGGTAGGCCCCTGGTTATATAGGAGTTCAGGGCTTAGGGTTTAGGGTATTTTCCTTAATGGCTTCAATAGGGGACCCTATATATCAATTAATATGGTTCAAAGGGTCTTAGGGGCCAACCCCGGAAGGAGTGAATGTCAGTGACTGGCTATTCAGGCTTTAGGGGTTTAGGGTTTAGATTATGCAGTCGCCTACCATGTGGATCCATTCCTCCATTCCCTGCTGTCCACCAAGAAGCAAATGGCACAAGAATAAGTCTGAGGGCAGTTAGTCTCACAGCCTTCTCAATTAGTTTTCTGGAAATGCTGTAGTGTGAGTCAGCAGGACTTTGCTTTTCATCTAGGTCTGGCATGGTTGATACAGCACACAGACGTTGTACATCAGAGTCCCCCTGCTGACTGGGGCTGAGAGGAGTGTAGAGTGCTTTCGGAAGCCGTGTATGATCCCTGTATCACAGTAAGCGCCTCTCGAGGTATCCAAATCAAAAAGTCCTGGGTACCACAAATAAAGATCACGGTACAGGGTTTAGGTCTTGGTGAGGCTGTTGCATTCACTGACCAAAGTCCCCATGCTTGCGAACTTGGAAACTTGGGAAGGGAAGAACAAGAGCTAGTAAGCCTGGTCGACATTGGAGGTCTCCTTTCTTGACAAAATTGATATTTTCCTTAAATAGGGGAACCCCAATACAGACCCCCAAATATTCTACTCTTTATCATGGGGACCCCGAACAGGGTACCCCTAATTCTGGGGAACCCCCACTTGTTTTGGAGATCAGAATCTCTCAGGGAGGATAGGTCTAGGGCTTCAGGTCCTTTTTTTGTCGGAGGCAGGGGCTGATGACGTGCTGTTGTTCGGGTTTATGTAGGGTATGCCCAGAAGGTCCACATATATAACCATTAGGGAATTAGATCCCCAAATACCATACTATAGAAGGAATTATGGGTCCCAATCCCCTAATGGTTGTATATGTGGACCCTCTGGGTATGGGAGGCTCTGGACTTGAGTGGTAGAGATGATCAAAGGGGGCAGAGCTTCAGTCAGCCCCTGTTATTATGCATATGTATGTATATATATATATGGGATTATAAGGCATCATCTAAATTCCTTAAAAGGGGTAATACAGGGGATTATATAGGGAAGTATTACAGAGGTTATTGGGAGGGATGCATACATACATGTATATATTCAGATCCGGACTTTTTGCTTCCGTTGAAGGATGTCAGAGCACACGTACATGGGACGGCGGGCCGATGCCGTAGCTAGGAGGACTCCATCTATAGCCCACTATCCGGAGATGTTTCAAAGGAATTGTGCTGGGCATGGGGCTTTGTAGCGTCCCGCGCATGTGATTCCTGCCAGGAACAGACGCAGACCCAGTTTCGTGCGCCAATTGTTTCGGGTGGGGGCTGGAAGCACTCAGGTTTTGAGCCAGCAGCTTTGCGCGTGGGCTGTCAAGGCATGTTTTTGATTTTGCAGCTTTCTGAAAAAGGACATCCTCTCGTACTAGCCTTCGGCACAGCATCACTTCTCCTTGCTCAGGTGTTGGTTTGAAGCGCTAAACCTCAAACCTTAAAAGGGATTTCCAATTCATTTTCCAGCTTCCCCAAGATATCCCGTGGATTGTAACCCCAATTCGCCTCTTCAGCGTGGCAGGTACGGAGCCTGTATTGCAAGCTGCGAGAAGAGCCAGAAGTGGGAATTGGCCCGGCGCCCATTGAATGAGGGCCTGCGGCAGGTAGAAAAAGGAGAGCAATATTCAGAATACAAACGGTTGCCCCAGAGAACTTCTTCGGATTGTGGATGACACTGGCATTGACCTGCAAAAACAGCGTGTGCGAAACCAAAGGTCTGCCAAAACCTTGTCGTTGGCCTACACAACTTTCAGCCAGAAAATCACATCCTGGGGTCTTTGAAGCCAACATGAAAAAATCATGTTCCTAAACCCTATAAACCCTAAACCCTAAACCATTATATGGACGACCAAAGGAGGGATCCATGTTGTTACGAAGCCTGCCTCTATACAAGCTTCATTAATCCCCCCACTAGTATTAACTCCCCCCACCACCCCCACCCCCCCATTGATATCAAATATTCTCCGTTGTGGTATATTCTGGTATATAGGGAATATTTAATATTAGGAGTGGTGGGAGGGTTGAATGTCAGGGGAAGGGATTAGACCATTTGGGATCTCTGAGAGCCCTTTGCTTACTAGTTCTTAGTAGGGAAGAAGAGAACCCTAGGGATCCAAATAGCCCAATGTAGGTAATATTTACAGACTTTGGGGCCCAATGTAGGCATGATTTACATACATGGATCCCTAGGGGAATATATCCCCTATATAATCCCGGTATAACATATTCCCAACTTCCATACCAAGAGGAGGGAATTACGACGGATGCTTTTGCACTCCCAGGCCGAGCTGCTTCTCCGGAGTTTCTTGCGCCGCAGGGACGCAGCTGCTGGCAGCCGTGGCCTGAAAGGGATTTTGAACGGGGTGTAGGGGTTTAGGGTGTAGGGTTTAGGGTTTAGGGTTTGAGGGGGAAGGCGAGATTTGTAGGGGTCCAATTTCGGGTTTAAGGGCCGTCTACAGCATTTTTTTGGTTTCGGGGTCCAACGTTTCAAGTTGGATTTATGTTTGGCTTGGGGCGTAAGAACTAGTGCGGCTCAAAACTTTGCACAAGGCGTCTGGCATTGTTCAGGATTTGGATTGTAGCTTTTGGGGTTCGGCGTTAGGTTTGCTGTTTGGGAGCTTCTGCACTATGAAATGGAAGCCCATAAAGGCCCTGTAAAGACGAATGTTATTGGAACAGGAAAACACTTCAGCTTCCACGTGTGTGTGTTTGGCGGGAAGGGTGCATGACCATCTCAAACTTTCAGGTCCAAACCGGAAAACCAACGCATGCTCTCAGTTTCCTTGCATTTCTCCATTATCTGTGGGTAATACCCAGGAACTCTATGTAATCCCTACGTAGACCATATAGAACCCCTAGTTCTTGCGCTCTATCGCTGAGGCATCCTATACAACTCCTGCATCAGCGCCTACAGGCCGGGCTCCTGATTGCAACAGTGGATTAGCAACATGAGGCGCAGTCAAAGGGTTTAGGGTCTAGGGGTTAGGGTTTAAGGTTTAGGGTTTGAGGATTTAGGGTTTTAGGGTTTGGGGGTTAGGGTTTTAAGGTTTAGGGCTGAGGGTCCAGGGTTGACGAGACTTGGGACTGGGTTCCTTGAATGGTTTCCTTGCCAGCAGTTGTCTTGCTGTTTGGTGAGTATAGCAGAGCAGCCCAGTGGCTTACAAATGACCAATTCTTGGCGCAGAGGAAGATCCTTGCAGTAGGTATTGGGAGCCCTGTGTTTCTCACTCTAGGGTATGCAAAGCACACCAGCAGTACAACATAAACCCTTAAGCTTGTATGCTATAAATACCGGTATATGGGCATACCCTAAGATCAGCGGGGTCGCTCCTCTACCTCAAAAAACCAGGCCGCTACTTAAAACTATAATGACTCCCAAAGCCTGACTCCCATGATCACCAGTCTTGGGAATTCGAGTTTAAGCACTGCGTGCAGGCGTGGGAAGCAGTGGCCGGTTGCTTTGCATCTCCTTGCCCAGTCACCCAGAGCGACCATTCCACAGCACATGATAGGGCTTAGGGTTTAGGACTATGTCGACGCTTAAACATGCATGTTCCAATAAAGATGGGGGGAGCCGAGTGTATGCATGGGTACTTGGCCCGTCGCCCACGTAGAACTGACATGGAGGTTAAGTTTCCCGTGCCTCAAACGCTGGACTGCGCAGGTTGAACATGATTTGTGCTGGTTCCTCACGTGATTGTTTTCCTAAATACGGAGACCCCAATATAGACCCTCAAATTCTATGATCCTTATTATGGGGACCCCCAAGAAGGTACCCCTAATTTTTGGGAAACCCTCACGTTTTAAGTCCCAGGAGGCAGCCTGCTCGATAAGTGCCAATCGCAAGAAATGAGCCTCGCCTTACGTCCCAACATGATGGTCTGGGATGTTTGCATGTATTGACAATGTGCCTGCTACAGTCACTATTATGGGTTGGGTACTGCCCCCCCTCAGTAACAGCTGGATAGTCATTATAAGATGGGTATATATAACCCTTAATAGGACCCCTAATATAGACTGTTACTAAAACATTATAACCCCCATAATCCCCTATATA